GTACCATCTTGAGCTAGGTTTGAGAGAGGAGAGGAATTAGGGTTTTAGAGCTTGAAGATTCTAAGGCAAATGTAGGCTAACCTCCGTTACTTATCTATATATATACATCTTTTTAATGGGCCTGATAAACATGTCTTGGCCCATCTACGTTTTATCTAATCGTTACCGACAGAACTAGTTTGGACTTTGGAACAACCTTTGCTTTAACATTGAGCCGTCATTACTGACTACACTGGAAATAATTTTTAGATAAAAAGTCTTGATTTGATCATGTAAGAAAAAAGTTTTATATATGCAGTTGCCATGTCAATAACATGTAATATAGTTAAACAAAATACTATTTCATTCATGTTATATGCTTAGTTGAGCACTTAAGTGCACAAAAATGATGGATTATCCAAATTGGTTGATACTTACAACAATCATTTCAATAGGGCATGGATTTATGAACTCTTCTTCTCATGATTAGTGTTATCAAACTGGCACATTTCTCTTCTTTTGCGACAAAGATGTGGTAAGCTTTAATGGCTCCATGTCTTATGTTCTACTATTTCTACGGTTGAGCTTTATAGACTTGTGTCCACATCAAAAACAACCCATGATCGCTCCAAATACAAAGACCATACCCAATCATCCCAAATAGAAATATTCTACTCTTTCAGTTTCAACAACCTCTTGGAATTTTGTTTTTTGCATACAGAAATTTGAGCATCGCAAAGAAGTAAAATCTACACAATCCGGTTCTGTGAGAAGTTGATACTCAAAAGAAAATGATTGACACACCCATCATGAAGCATCCCACGGAGACCCAAGGGCTCAAACGCTCACCTGTAACAAGTGACGACAAAGAAAAGGTTGTCAACAATTGGAGGATATAATTTGAAACTTATTGAATTTACTATGTGCAATCGTGTCTATGCTTAAATAGGAGATCACCAAGGTTTTTGAGGATTAGAAACCAATTGCTTAGAGGTGTAGAGTTCAATTATTAGTAGCTGCAATGATAACTAGCGAGCTCTTGCTCCCGGAAAGCCTACCGTTAGTCTTTATAAGAACACTATGCAAAGAAGGAATACCCTAAAACACAATGTTTTCTACAAAGGAATTGGATTGGATACAGAAGAGATAACTGAGCTCCAAGGGCCTACCTATTCTAGCAGCCTTCCAAAAGAATCCTCGAAACCTGCAATGATGAAAGCATACTATACGTTCAAGTATTTTTCTTGATTCTAATATATAGAACAAGGCAATGAATGGAGGAAACACTAGCATGAAGAACAATTTACAAAGCAAAGTCAAACAACTTGCACAGAAATCTGAGAAAGCATATTCGATTCAGTCAAAGACTAACAAACGCTTGAAGATAATAACCGGTTTCCAAAGCTCGATGAATCCAATTTCACGAAAGAAAGGAACACAAACCCAGTTTTCTGCTCCAAAATGGCAGGGAACTGCATCTTCAGATAAGTGCAAGTGCAGATCACAAGCAGCACCACCATCAGAAACGAATGGAAATTGAATAAAGCTGACTGTGATCATCAAAGATAAACAACTCTTCTTAGCTTAAATCGCTGGGTGGAGAAAAAGAAAATCATAATGGACATAAGAAGGGCAATAATATACCATTGTATCTAATCACTGAAGCACCACCTCAGAAGCTAATTTCGTCCTTTGTATCTGAAACAAAACAGACAAAACAACGATGTGGATCACAGGAGAATCGATTGGAAGATAGACACAATCATCAAAAACCTATCAATTCAATCAACATCCAGTTTTGTATAAGAGAATCAAGGGGAATACTCATCTATTGGCCAATTCTGATTTAGATTTCATATACAGACTAAAAATTATCAGATCATAGAGCGAATCAAACTCAATAACTTCCATAGTAATCAGGTGAATCGAGAGAGAGCAGATCAGAAAAGTGAGAAGAATCGAGAAAAGGAAAAGAAACCTGAAGTTGAGCTGATATCGATGCTAATGGCGAAGGAATTAGGGTTTTGAAGCTTGAATCTAGCAAACAGGGAAGGAAGGATCGAGAGAAACGTTTGCGAGAGTTATTATGGTTTCCTATTATACCCCTCTCTTCCTCAAGTCCAAGAAATTGCAAAAAATACTGTAAACTTTTCAAAACACACAAATTTGTCATAAATTTATTTACCAAGCATCTTCTAAATCCGGTTTTACCAAAACATTACAATATTTTTGCAATTAACCAACTAGATTATGCATATTATTCTTATCCTCCATGATCAATTTCAATACCCAAGACTAGTCAGTTATAGGATCAACTTAATTTACACTAAACTGAAATGATAATTGATTAATCCATAAATATCACATTTCCAACAATCCAAACAAGTATTATTTGTTTGGGAATATAGTTTAAGAGTCTCACTAACCATTGAAATCTACAAATCTTTAAACAAAACGTTTTCTCTCTTTGGCTACTTCTTTTACAATCTCCATAAAGCATTCCCACCACTACCACATAAGTTGATCAAATCCATGAGAACTGAGTACAAGACATCGAGCGACAAATGACCCAACAATTTCCGACTCTCCGACACCCCTTTCCTCTCCTCGGTGCAGCCATTCTCCATCACAAGCCACCACGAGATGCATCCCTTTGCGTCTTCAGGGTTTACTTGGGCCACGAGGCTCACTCTTTCCCCTTCTACAATCTCTAACGACAGAGACAGAAAGTCCCTGCTCACTTTTGTCCCAACCATCCTCGCTTCCTCCAGTAGCCAACACACAATCTGGCTCGCCACCTTCTCAAATTGTTTTTTATAGATATTTCCCATCAATAAACCGCATGTTTAAGGAACTGTTGCTATAGACATTACCAACTTTAGGAAAAGAAGAGTACCTGTTGGAGAATTATCACCGGAAGGTCGGTCAGGTCGCACTCGTATTTGTTCATAGAGAATAAATTGCAGGAACTGCTTTTCAGTAAGCCAACCACATTAGGCGTGCATTCCGCTTCAACACTAATACAATCATCCTTCACCACCACTTTTGTCCGGAACTGCGTCTTAAGATTCCTCTTACCATCTGGAGACTGGGTTTCAGACCTTCCTTGAGGGATGACTGATGGAGGTACAGTCATGAAGACAGTCCATGATGATGTCCGAGAACTCCATGTAGGATGAGATATCAAATGAAGATACGGGACCTTGCAGACCTGTCAACGAGGAGGCAGCAATTATTAACAAGTTTCTTGATAGAGAATGATCATTGAATAAAGTTTAACGCAGAAGGAAAAATACCACGCTTTCGAGATGCACAAGAACTCTATTTGAGAAGATTCTATGCGCCAAAGATAAGCAGAAATGATCAAGAAGTCCGGAGTTGTTGTCCTTTGAGGTTTGATTGGATGCTCGGTTACTTTTTGACTTGGGCTGATCTTTAGCTTTTCCAAAGACATGCTCATGAAAAATTTGTTGCAAGTATATTTCATAGCTGGCACGACTAGGGAACCTAAGCTTTTTCAAGCGATAGTCTCCTTTTTCTGCTGGTTCTATTCTGCCAGATGATTCAATGGGCAGGTTTGCAGCTTCCGACTTCTTGATTCTTGCATTTTTGCCCGATGGGTAGAGAGATACAAACAAAGAAGCTCCTTGGCCAATGTTCATCTCCATAAAATTTTCTCGTATTCCAGTAATGCTGAATCCCACACCATCATTGAATGCTTCGCGATTTAGCAAGTCAAACAACTGGTAAGAAAACCAAAGAAGTGAGAACATGCCATAATATACCGTACAAGAAATATGACAACAAAAAAACCCACCTGCTCGGCAAAAATGGATTTATGCACCTCCCTGAGTAGCGAATGAGTTTCCTTAACAGATTCGTCGTCATTTCCAGACTGCTTCTCTGATGTTCCAGAGAAATCCTGACCGGTAGTGGAGTCCCTGTGCTCGGCAGATGCGCTTGGGTTGTCAATCGAATTCAAGCCAACAAACCCAAACCGAAGAGAGTACCATGAATCTTGGGGTAGATTAATGGCCAGCATACCAGCTGAATCGTGTTCTACACGAATAGTGGACAGTGTAGATGGCCGAAAACCAGAAGTCGGATCATATAATGAACTGTCAGAAAGATCAATTGTGAAGCCCTCATTGCTGGCGTTTGAAGCAAGCACACGCTGTCGCTTGACTTTCCAGTTCCGCTGCAACCTATAAGCTTGTCAGCATAGCAAAAAGAGCCATTTGCAAGTATCAAACATTTTCTATTCTGGAAGCTGAAGTCATCTTATCTTTTTTTTGGTCAACCTGAAGTCATCTTATCATTTTCTGCAAATTATTACAATGTCAACGGAGTCTCTCTAATTAGTGTTGACATAGTCCTACAAAGTCCCTTCACAACGAACTGGATGTTCATATGAAATACTGTACTATGCAGGATTTAGCAACAGAGACGGCGTAGAAGTCCAGATTTAAAGTTTTCTCACTTTAAACAAGGAATAATCAAATTTAAAGTTTTCTCACATTAAAGTTTATCACAGTCATAATATGTAACAAAACCTATGAGCGTAATCGCCCTAGATCCACAAATGAGACATCAATTATCTGTGACACTGTAAGCTAATTAAAACTAGCATAAACAATGCAGAAGGAAAATTCTCAGAGTTGCAAAATGGCAATCAAGAAATAGAGGTTGCCCTAAAGTTTCTTGTTCACAAAATAGGAGCTGACATTATATAGCAGTTTATTAGAAAATACTCGAACCTGATAAGAGCGCCATAAAATCTTGCTTCGCGATCAATTTTCTGCTCTAAAGCTTTTGATGATTGCTTAAAGTATTTTCCTAAATGCTGCAGAGGAAACATGTATTCAAATATGACATAAGCTCACAAGATTATTATCCAAAGAGAATTATATAATTAAAAACTCTTTAGGACACTAAAAGTGTGTAGCTAATAAAGTTACCAGAATCATTCCATCTTTAAGAAAAGTTAATTTGCACATGAGAGAGTAAGGTACTGGTTACCCGGTAGCTCTGTAACTTGGTAGCAGTACACACAGCAAGATCTGAGAGAATCTCATTTGGCAAAGACGTAGGTCTGTTCATACTAGCAACTGCTACTGCATCATTAGCTACGACCTACACAAAGAATACACTTCAGCTCTTTCCATCAAGCCAATAAACAGACACTATAGAGCTATAACTAAACAAACCATTGCTGCATCCATCTCATGAGCATTTGAATATGAATATCCAAGACTCTTACTTACTTTCATAAACCCAAATCAAGATCTTAAAACACCCTACAAATCTCCCATTCGATACCACAAAATTTATCATATCGTGTAAGCACAGAGTCACTCACGGTATTGATAAGGTCTATGATAACAGAAAGCTCCTGATGAGCCAACTGCAAATTATCCACCATACTCTTCCATGGCCATTGCTCCGAGCTCTCTTTAGAAC